CCAGGGCAACAGAGTGAGACTCTGTCTCAAAAAAAAAAAAAAAAGAAAAGAAAAGTTTGCATTACTAAAAAGCAAATTGCCCCAGGAGCTAGCATATTATTTTATTTTAATATTAAGTAGGAAAATAAGCATTTTAGAAGATTGAACCACCTGAAGAATGGCTGTAATTGGAATAACTATTTGATATGATTTGATAAATTGGGTTTTTACCACTTCATTGAATAACATATACTGAATCTGAAAGAAGTCACTTGGAAGTTTTATCTATTGGTTGTATCTTACGTTGTCTTGAAAATGTTAGCTATTTCAAAAAACATTCCAGTTAATTTTTAAAAAACTATCAGCAACTTATGGTGCTTTAGCTGATGTAAGGTGCTTTTCTTTATAGCTAAGTACATATATATGAATAACTGAAAAGAAAGACTAATGTTTAAATATGTGAAGTAGGCAGGGTGAGTTTAGGTTTCTTTCTGATGTTCTCTTTGTATTGCTTTCATGGGACTCTCTCTCCATAGCAGTGTATCTTTTGATGGTGATAGCAGGGAGAGGTTGAGGTTGCAAGGATCCTGGAATGGATGAAGCAGTCATTAAACAAAAATTGCCAATACCCCAACCACCTCACTCTACTGTGTATCTGAACTTAGAGCATCCCAACATGGCTCCAAATACCACATTTCCAACATCTAATACCACTCTTTGCTCTTAATGGAAACGTGTTTAATACTGAGATGTATAATAACATAAACTTATGGAGTATCTATACTTTAGTCACAAAAGGAGACTTTTCTTTTTGTCACCTGGGGGTTTTCACACCCTGGGATATTGTACCTCAGGTAAGGGATGGGTGAAAGGGAGGAGTAGGTCTTCTCTAAAGTGCGAAAAGAGCTATCTGTAACTTGGAAATTTTCAGGCAAGTCACTTTAGGCAAGAATTTGTATGGAAGTTGAGGATACAGAAGTTGATTCCCTTAAAACTATCCATGCTCAAGTAACTCTTGGAAGATTTCATAAAAATAGAGTTGCCAATTTGAAGACTAATGAACCAGATCACCTTTTTGGTCCTTTTTAAAGACGTGGTGATTTTATCTCTTTCTTCATTACTTTTTGTGATCTCTAAATAGGTCATCTGTAGGCAATTTGACAAAGAAACCAATAAAATTGATGATGATGTCATTTATTAACCTGCTGATTGCTGATATACCTATGTTTATTCATTGCCCATAAACAGTACTTATACATACACATATATATGTGTGTATATATATATATACACATACAGATGAACCTATTCAAAATTTATAGTTAAATTAATGTTTGTATGACAATATATACTTCATAAAGTGCCAGTCATACTTTGGTTTTAAACATAAGATAAGCTGAAATTTTTTAAAATGTTAGACATTGAATAGTAAAGTATGCTCACATGTCACATAATGACATTTTGGTCAATGACAGACCACATATATGATGGTGGTCCCATAACATTATAATGGCTATACCATATAGCCTGGACATGTAGTAGACTATACCATCTAGATTTGTATAAGATGATGTTTGCACAATAATGAAATCACCTAATACATTTCTCAGAACGTATCCTCATCGGTAAGCGACAAATGACTATAGGTTAATTTGTCTTTTATTTCATTTTTTTCAGGTAGTTTTGGGCAAATTGTAGAGTAAACTGAACCATGGAATAAAAATTAAAATATTTGGCTTGGATGTTTGAAAATGTACCTTTCTGTTACGTTAACAGTCCTAGAACAATGATTTTGGAGGGACTTATAAAACAAGAATTAGATTGTGTGATTAAAATCTGAAAAATAGCTGAGCTTGTCTAGTCAAATACTAATTTATGTCAAGGCCAGAGTCTGGAGAAGTGGGTACTGTTCTTAGCAACTGTCCAGATATTACCATTTTCTGGCAAAGGAAATACCAAGTCATCTATTTTTAAATACTTATTATATCCTCAGGAAGAGGGTATCTTGCCCATCCCTATATGGAGGGTTTTGGATGCTTTAGAAGCCACAGAAAAGGTAACCTCCCAAATCAAAGAAGATTCAGCAAAGGATTGTAAAGTAAAGGGGAGAAGAATTGGCCATATTCAAATTGCTGATCTCTTAAAGAAAGACAGTGATCCCCAATAAAAAGAGGGCCATCCTTTTTTGGTAAACCTGCTTCTTAAAGTTTTATCTGCCTCCTTCCTTGATCTTCCTTGTACCATTTACTTAAAATCAGCTCTTTTTCTGAACTGTTTTCTATCATTGGCACCAATTATGACAATCGATATCTTGCTCCAAGTTGGGGCATACCCTGTTATATACTCTTTCCCTTATGTTAGTTTATTTATTTTTCTGGTCTCTATTAATATATAGCCTTCTCCATCTGTCTTCTTGGGAAAATTTATAGATAACTGGGTTCCTAGAAATGACCAAAAATACAAGTTCCAAAGGCATATCCTCAGAACTCTTGACACATGACAAAGTTTTCATTGCTCTAAAGAGAAATACAGATAATTTTCTGAAAATTTGGAAAGTTTTTCAAAAACATTAAATTTATTCAGTCATATCCTTTACTTATTCAGATGTCCTTTCCTGAAAATATAATGGTAGTAGTTGGAATTTTGTTTTATATTTGGTTTTAATGCTCTCATTTGGAAAAACAAATGTTGGCAACTATTGTTTCCCAAAATTTTTGGAAATTTTTATTGGTCTTTGAAATCTATTTAAATGAAATTCCTTTGGAAAATTTTCTATGAAAATTGCAACATGTCTAAATACATAGTGGCCTGTCAACCACTGGAGCAAAATGTGTGTGTAACTCTACTTGCTTAATGTGTTCTTCAGGAAAGACCACGCACGTATTTAAGTGAAATGTGGTTGTCTTCCATTACACTCAAAATGTGGGCCATGTAACATAGCAAACTAGAACCTTACTACCAGGTCAGCCTTGTGTGGTGGCCCTTGCTGTGATTCTGTTATGGGTCACATGAAGGGGGGTGGCTTACAGGAATTTTAACCCTGTAAAAGAAACCCTAGAAGTAGCTAAGTTATATCTTTCAGGATTTGCTTTGATATTCCGGTTATGTTATAGCCTTTTTCTTTTCTTTTTACCAGGACTTTTCATTTCTTGGGCTTGTTTGTTTTTAATTTCCCTGACAAGTTTAGGTTTATAAGCTTTTATCATATCTGTGTGTGGGGAAGTTTGCCATTAAAAAGCAGGTAGGCAGTGATGTAACTTAAATGGCTTTTCTAGCCATCTAATAAGAAAGTTTTACTTAAAAAAAAAACACTAAACATGATGACAAAAAGTGAGTTTTCTCCTGTGTTTTCTATATTATAAGCACAAATGTGTATTACAAAATTCTAAATACCACTTTAATAAAGATGACTAGAAGTGGGGTGCGAATTAATTTAAAAATTAGAGATTTGAAAGGTCAGTTTTACCAGTGAGAGGCTTTAAAGACTCCACTTTAGATATGTGTGAACATTTTCTCAATACTTGGATGTTAGTTCATTTAGTCATGGAGTCAAGTGTTTGTACAAGGCTAAAAAACTCAATATCTCAAATGTCAGATATCACAAATTTCTTTTGAAAGTACGTATATTTAGTAGGTTTAGAATTTCGGACAGGCTATCAGAAGATAATTACACAGTAGATTTGTTTTCATAATGATTTGTTATAGTGATTACTAATGGAAGTAGGGAAATAAATTAACTAGCTTTAACAAATGTCACTATGAATTTTTGACTTAGGGCACATACCTTCATTATTTAATTGTGAAAGCTATGCATTTGCCTTTAATTGCTGCTTTTAGTATGGTTTGTTTTAAGTAGGCTAAGTCGCTGTAATTTTTGTTCTTTTAGATACTATACAGTTGAAGACATGTAAGGGGTTGTTTTTCCAAAGACATAAGCAGTTTTACTGTACAGAAATTTTTAATATTTAAATTTTGAATTTAAAAGCAGATTTCAAAACATCATTGCATATTTCTGTATAGTCTCCTATTTTCCCCCACGAGTTATTTAAATAATAATTTAGATGACAGTGTTTACTCTTGGTAAGCTTGTACAAATTACTAGACATTCTTTATGTTTACATGAATTGCCTGCCCCCTCCCAAAGATAAAGTAAAATCAGCATTTTATAGATCGGTTATTGTAAGTAGGAATATATAACTAACTTTAAAATAATCACAATTCTCTCTGAATTCTAATTTAATATATTTACAATTATAGCTATATTGTTGGATAATCTAAATTATTTAAATATACATATTAAATTACTTAAGACTATCAATTCAAAAATAGTTATTAGATTATTTCTTTTCTAGAGTCTAAAAAGTTTAGGAGTGGGGGAAAACGGGGCTACAGACCCTTTGAAAATCTGACAAAAGCTTTGGACCCTTTCACTGGAAAAATGCTGGCAAACATAAACACACATTTGGTGTGCTGTTTCAGGGCAGTCACTGATGCTCTCTGCCCAAGAGATCAGAGGCCCCTATATTAAAAATACCTGCCATTAATATGAGGAATATGTTATTAAGAAGGATCTCCCAACTTTTAACAAAAAAATATTTACACTTGAAAATTTGTTACGACTGCCCCCACTTTTTGAATGCAGATTCTTGTTCTAAGTTAGTATGTCTGGTTAGTTTCATTTTCAGAACTTCCGATTAATTGCTTAATTCATAAAATGTACTGCAGGTTTGGATATAGAAGTAAGTTTTCTTTTGGTGAAGGAATATCCTTGAGTTAATAACATTTTATTCTAATTTACACTGATTACAAAAACAGATCATCTTGATCACAGCAGTACATCACATCTTTGTTCTTCCTTTTGCTAAGGAAAATTGATAGCCAGTGTTCTGTCCTTTTTGCCCTTCTTTAATATTTTTTGTCTAGTTTCCTTGTCCACCTCTCTGATAGGGAAGAAGAGTGCTGTGATGGTCAGAAATGGTCAGTCTAATCAGAAGAGAAGTCACCATAATCAGAGTATTTCAAATCAGGGTTAAACTGACTATTCCATGAAGTATGGGTGAAATCCAAGGCCTGATTTTTGTTTTTAAGCCACAAGTTAATACATTTTTTATAAAACCACTGTATTGAAATAAAATTCACCCATTTAAAATATTCAGCTCAATGGTCAAAGCCTGTTTCGATGGAGGCAAAATGACTATATTATCAAAGTCAGATATCTCTCAGCCTTTCGGCCAAGGTCATGTGTATTAACAAAGTCAGAGAAGGGCCTTCCTCTTTTAAGTTGTCCCAGTGTATTGAATAATCTTCAGAGATCCTCAAAGCCACAGAGCCCACTTCTCCTTCTGCTCTGGAGCTGTAGTAGAATACTGATATTTTGGCCTTCTGTTGTGTCTCTAAGTGTACTAGCCTTAGCATATCAGTAAATATTTCTCAGCATGAAAATTTTGAACACAAATTGTCCAAAGAGATTTGAGCCCCTGGACTTTAATGTCAATGGAGTGAACAACTTTTCTTTTAACTATGCTTATGTTTATTTGCTGGCATTTCAAAAATAATTATTATCAAAATATTTATTTGCTCCTGATTATGTCTAAATTGTGTATATCTTTTAAATCACTGAACATCTTTAAAATTTAAGACACTGAAATATTTAAGTGGAATGAATTTTCAAGAGCATTGAAGTTACCACAAGGGGCCTAGAAATATTCTGCATACCTAAATAGTTCTAGATATTAACTGGTAGTTGTTTCTAGCTTATCAATTCAGTTACCAAAATAAGTTTGAATTATTGTTAATTAACCGTTTTGTTGTGGTATGAAGTAGTTGTCTTAGAAGGAGAGATTATAACACTTGAAATTCTAGTAAAACTAAAAATATTCTACGTATGTACATACTCTACATATATTAACTTCATTAACTCATTTTTTTCCACATTAAAATTTTATTTAAGGAAATTATAAAATTAAATGATTTTCTTCTAATGCTTCATTCTGTGAGTGCATTCTGGAAATATTTCCTTTCTCTTTTCCTTCTACAGTTAATTTTTTGTGTCTTCTTTAGGTTTGATATGCACTAGGTTAAAGAAACATCCCACTAACTGTTGCTTTTTTATTTAGATTTTTTTCATAATTATTCACTAGACATTTAAGTTTATACGTGAAATCTCATGGAAGGAAGTTGTATGTTATAAATATATTTCTAAAATGTAGTTTCTGAAGAATTCATAACCCATTTGTACAGAACAATTTAAATTTGTATTTTGTGTCATTTAAAACAGTATCAAAATAATTCAAAAATTATTTTCGAACTTGTTATCAAAAGCAGAACACAGAGTTTAATAATGACTTTTATATATAGCATCTCATTTTTTAAATCAGATGTTTTAGATTACAGTGTATTATATTACAGTTTTCATTCACAGACATTTAGTGATTATCCTTAATGTTCATGACAGGAGCCCTCTGGCACAAATGGAAGAAGAAAGAAGGGAGCATGTAGCTAAAATGAAGAAGATGGAGATGGAGATGGAGCAAGTGTTTGAGATGAAGGTCAAAGAAAAAGTTCAGAAACTGAAGGACTCTGAAGCTGAGGTAATCCATTTAATATTCCATCTCTTACATAGTGTTCCTTTTCAAATATCTGTAATAAAATACATAGATAGTATAACCTTTTTATGTACATTTTTTCAAAATTAATATAATACCCAAATGTAATACAATGGAGAATTAAAAGCAAGCACTGTGTTGATAATAAAATAATATATACTTCAGTATGTAAGTGCTTAAACACAGTATACTAGGTAGGATGACATAGTAGAATACTTATTCAATGAATTATTAGTTATGAATAAGTTTGAGTTATGAAAAATAAGGTTATAAGTCATTCCATACAAGTGGTATAAGAATACTAAAGATCAGATCAGAGTTTTGGGTAGATGTAAGAATAAAAACTAGTATTAGGATAATAATAATTGACTAGATGTATTTGTATATGAATGAGCAAGAAGGAAGTGAAATAACCTTTACTTAAGTAAGGACATGCCTGGATAAATTACGGTCAAAGGGGAGAAAATGAGGGAATGCGATGTTCTGGTAGACAACTTAGGCTTTATTTATAATGTAGCATCAAAGTAATTCCCTGTGTTACAGCCCTGGACAGGGTAGTGACAAAACATCCCCGCAGACATATCTGCTATCTTGAAATCCCATCGGATGTTGGGGCACACATTTAGTTTCAGATAACCTTTAGTGATAAAATTTAGTGAGATCCTTATGTTTTATGTGGCTTCACTAATACAATAATATTTGTATCTAAATATATTAAAGAGAGATTCAGGTCTCTTCTGTTACATCGTTACAGTAGATCTCATTGCGTTTGCAAATTACTGCCTAAAATACTGAAACCTTTTTTGACTAAAGACGTAGCAAAAGTAACCCACTGAGCAGATAAAATGGATGGTGTGAGAAAAGCATTCAGTACTTTTAAGGAAATGTTTTTATTCTACATAATTTCTCTCACATTACTGGGCTTTTCTTATAATTTCTTATAAAAATCTTTCATTATAGTTATATTTGTCATGAGTTTAATTTAGCAGGGAAATGGAGTAATTCCTCCTGGTTTACGACTGCTGAGTACTGCAAGACTAGCATCCCTGGAACCTGCCACTAAATGCCAGTAGCAATGCCCTCATAATCACTGGGCAAACCAAAATGAGTGTGCATATGCACACACCTACACCCAATCAAGATTCGCTGTCTTAGATGTTGCTATTATAATATAAATAATTAAAATTATTAAGATGATGTTTTAGGGATTAAGTTTACTCTTTTTATTTATCGGCCTGTTATTAAATCTATACGTTTGAGTCTGTACCTCTCACTAGTTCACAAATAACCTGGAATGTCTATATCTAAGGGGAAAAAACAGGAATAATCAAGAGTCAATTGTATTATCTCCACACTTAGATTCCACTGAAAATCTAAAAGTAGCTTAATTTACATTTGTTGTAGATACATCTTAGGACCTGTTCCTAAGAGTAAATGTTATAAACAAGTAATTGTGAAACTATAGCCAAAGAACCCTTCAGGAATTTATGTGATTACTGTGAACGGTGAAGACAAGTTTAAGAAACTACTCTTTATAAAATGGAATTTTTCTTAGCATTGAAAGGACCTGTGAGAGATCTAGGCCAAGTTCCTGCTAATACTCTGTCGAGCCATATCTAATTAAGTATACCTATTCTAGTTTCCTCTTGTTTAATTGAACCACATCCCAGGGTGTGCTTACCAACATCCCTGTGGTTGTAAGTTTGGAAAACATCATGATATGTGTGTGTGTGTGTGTCATGTCATGTCAATATGATATATATATAAAATAAATAAGTAGGTGGAGAAACCCATTTAGCCTTGTTTGATACAAAAATCTATTGTGCTGGAAATGTTTGGAGCACAGCTACTAATATCCAGGATTACAGTGTGTCAGGCACAGTACCAAGCATCTCTCCTGTGTCATGTCATTTAGTCCACACCACAGCCCTAAAGGTAGATATTATTGCCCATCCCCCCCATTAAAAATGAGAGGAAGGATAAAATAACTTGGTCAATACTGCATAGTTGTAAACTAGCATTTGAACCCAGCTAATTCTTAAGTTTGCTGTTAATCACTACATAGGTTCACAATCCTGCTTTTCACAATTTCAAAACCTAAAAAGCTCTGAAAACTGTAAAACCTGACATAAACTAATAGTTTTTATACCACTTTGAATATTTATATATTTTACTGCAAAAATGTAATGTGTTTGATTATAGCTGTTGCTCCAAATAGCCTAGAACATGTTTTATAAATATAATATATACCTGTTTCTAAGCAGTATTGCCTTTTTAACACCTGAAAAATTCTGAACTTCAAAACACATTTGACCCCAAGGGTTTCTTGAAAATGAGGGAAGTTACTTGCATGCAGTTAACACAAAAGATAATTACTTACATGTAACATAAATTCAAGTTAAAGAATGATGAACACTTGTAAGCCTTCCACCCAGCTTAAAAAATAAAACATTATCGACTCATTTGAAATCCTTGAGCGCCTCTCCCCTGTTGTATCTCTCTCTCTCTCTCCTTTGCCAGAGGCGACTACTATTCTGAATTGTGTGTGATTCTCCTCACTTTTTTTTTTTGTTTTATAACTTGTTTTATAATTTTCTCATGTTCCTACTTTCTGATATTTTCTTAGTAACTTCTTTGCCATTATCAAGATGATTTTACCTCTGATTTGACTCATGTTTGCTTAAATGTACCTTTGGTGGTTTTGTTTTGTAGGAATTGCATGAAATATTTGCAATAGGTATAAATATGAAGTCATTTTTTGTGGATTTACAAAATAATTAAGAAAACATTTGTATGCAAAGTTATATTATAACCCAAATTCAAGATGTTAATTCACCAATGTAATAAAATGTTTAGTAGAACATAATTCCTGGACAACTAAATATGTTGAATGATACTTGGATATTTGGTGTGGTTGAATTTAATCTGATTGTTTTAATTTGACGACCATTTTTTTCAGAAATAGATTGACTAGTGCCAAATGAAATTATTTACTTAATGATTAATTGAACTTAAAGCTCTTTGTTTCTGTAGTATTTTGCGTGGGTGTTTCCCACATCCTTCCTAGCCAACATTTTTTTTTTTTTTTTTAAAGAGACAGATTTTGCTTTGTCACCCAGGCTAGAGTGCGGTGGCCGGATGGATCATAGCCCACTGTAACATCGAACTCCTGGGCTCAAGCGATACTCCTGCCTCAGCCTCCCAAGTATCTAGAGCTATAGGCTCATGCCACCCCACCCAGCTAATTTTTAAATTTTTTCTAGAGATGGGGGTGGGGAGGGGGGGATCTCACTCTGTTGCCCAGGCTGGTCTCAAACTCCTGGCCTTAGGCAGTCCTCTTGCTTTTGCCTCCCAAAGTGCTGAGATTACAGGCCCCAGCCAGAATTCTGTACAGCATTAATTCTCAGTGTAGGAAGGCCCACCTGCATTAGAATCACTGGGGCTTTTTGAAAATCCAGATTTCTAGACTTAACACCCAGACATTCTAATTCAGGACATCTGGGTGAGGTCCAGGATTCTATATTTTAAACAAGCATCACAGGTGATTTGTATGAAGACCAACATCTGAGAACCACTGCTTTACAAGAATCAGGGGACCTTCCTGGGATCTTGGAGCTCTTAGGCTCTTAACAACCTGCTTTCTTTTCACCTGTCTCAGCTTTCTGAACTTGGAATAAGGAGACTTAGGTTCAAGTCCTTGTTCTGACAATTTCTTGCTAGTGATCTTAAACCCTGCAACTGTTTCCTGTTTGTACAGTAGGAACAATGGTGTCTTCCCTCCCACATATTTGTGATTAATGAAAAATGAGATAATAAGGTAGTAATGTCCATTATAAAGTGCTACACACCTGTAAATTTGTTGCATTTTTTTTCCTGTTTCCCAAGAATATTCTCTGGGGTCACTGGCCTTTTGAATGACAGGTCCTAAAGTGGGAGGAATCCTTAATAGTGGTTTCCAGGTAGTACCCTGAATTTATAGCAAGGTGACTCAATACTCATACTCTTAACATTAGGATGTCTGGATGAAACATACTGCTGCTTTTGATTTCTTAAGTAGTTTTATTTTATATATCGTACTGTGATTTAGCTCCAGCGGCGCCATGAGCAAATGAAAAAGAATTTGGAAGCACAGCACAAAGAATTAGAGGAAAAACGTCGTCAGTTTGAGGATGAGAAAGCAAACTGGGAAGCTCAACAACGTATTTTAGAACAACAGAACTCTTCAAGGTAATTAATGTCAGATTCCTAAGAAATGTGTATATTCATAGTTTAAAGAATTATTTTCCTACTCATTTAAAAAACATTAGAATAACATTTAAAAAGCCATCATCCATTATCATGTATCTAAAGCACAATTATTTTCTTAGATGAATGTTTTTATATAGATGGATACAGTCTGTATACTATAACAGTGTTTTTTTAGTACATTTCCCATGACTTAATCATCATAATTTAGCAGCTTCATAACACTCTCCCCAGTTAACTCACCATAATTAGATTTCTTACCTCCTCCCCTCAGTTGCTGACATAGGGTTTTCAGCTTTTGGCATACATGGAGAACACTGCTACAAAGATCTTTTATACATTTAGGGATGTGTTTTAACTGTGTTGGATTATTTCTTTAGAATGAAATCCTGAAGATAAAATGTTGGACATCTAAGTTCTAATACAGCTAATCAGTTGCTCCCTCTCAATTTATTAAAAATTCAGTAACATTTGAACCTTGGTTTTCTTCTTTTCTTCGTTAGTCTCATTTAAAACTGGAAAGATGCATCCCTATATGGATTCTATAACTTATGCTCACTGCTAAAACATTTACAAGATTAGACATTTATTCTGCAACACTATACTTTTATTAACTTTTTTTTTCAAAGAAGAGGAAAATGTATTTGTAAAAGCAAATGCACTTTGGGATACAAATGGCAGTAGGAGAAAAGGGCACTCTGATGTCAACTGATGTTTTCCAATTTGTGCTATTTCACTTGGGAAGAGTTGTTCTCATATATTAAAATGGGATATTGCCATATTTTTTACTGCTTATCCTGGAATTTTGTCAAATATGTGATTGTCTAAGAAAATGCTATTGTAGATTAGCATTATCTTATTTACTTCTAAATCTTGTAATTTTTTAAAAGGAAAAGTAGTATTTGAATAAACTCCAACATAGTTGTAGTTGGGTTAGCTCTTGCTACCCATATGTTTGTTGTCTGTCATGTTTATAACATGGTCACTCATCTTGATTATTTTCCTTTAATCATTTAGAACCTTGGAAAAGAACAAGAAGAAAGGGAAGATCTTTTAAACTCTCTATTGACCACCAGTTACGTATTAGTTGCCAATATGCCAGCTTGGACATCAGTGTTTGTTGGATCCGTTTGACCAATTTGCACCAGTTTTATCCATAATGATGGATTTAACAGCATGACAAAAATTATTTTTTTGTTGTTGTTCTTGATGGAGATTAAGATGCCTTGAATTTGTCTAGGGTGTTGTGTACTTAGCAAGTAACAGCTCTAAGTACCTTTCCTACATTTTCTTTTCCTTTTTTTATTAAACAGATATCTTCAATTTAATGCAAGAGAACATTTTACTGTTGTACAATCATGTTCTGGTGGTTTGATTGTTTACAGGATATTCCAAAAGAAAAGGACTCTGGAAGGTTTTCATTGAGGATAAATTGCCATAATATGATGCAAACTATGCTTCTCTATGATAATTATAATACAAAGGTTCCATTCAATGCAGCATATACAATAATGTAATTAGTCTAACACAGTTGACCCTATTTTTTGACACTTCCATTGTTTAAAAATACACATGGAAAAAAAATCCTATATGCTTACAGTGCACCTAGAGCTTTTTTATAACAACCTTTTTTTGTTTGTTTGTTTGTTTTGGATACTTTAAATATATATTATTCTCATTTAGTGCCCTCTTTAGCCAGAATCTCATTACTGCTTCATTTTTGTAATAACATTTAATTTAGATATTTTCCATATATTGGCCCTGCTAAAATAGAATATAGCATCTTTCATATGGTAGGAACCAACAAGGAAACTTTCCTTTAACTCCCTTTTTACACTTTATGGTAAGTAGCAGGGGGGAAAATGCATTTATAGATCATTTCTAGGCAAAATTGTGAAGCTAACGACCAACCTGTTTCTACCTATATTCAGTCTCTTTATTTTACTAGAAATGGGAATCATGGCCTCTTGAAGAGAAAAAAAAAGTCACCATTCTGCATTTAGCTGTATTCATATATTGCATTTCTGTATTTTTTGTTTGTATTGTAAAAAATTCACATAATAAACAATGTTGTGATGTAATGGAGTGTGGGATCTTAAATATTCTACAGTTGACATGTAATAGTAGAATATGGGAAGAAGCTTTTCAACTTGAATTTGCCTCCTCCATGATGACATCTCTCATGTTTGTCTCTTTTAGAATGCATATGTACTGATTTTCTAATTTAAGAGATACCTTATCTCTTTATTCATTCCTATATCTCATTCATATGTTTATTTCTCCAGAGAACAATTGTCAGCTCATTCGGATTAGGTATACTCTCAAGTCCCTGGAAACTGAATTTTTTTTTAACTGGAAAGACAGTAGTGTAATTTCTTTTCACTAAGATCAAATGATAAAGATTTTAACATAATGCTTCATGGTATTTTAAGTATAATTAATGCAACCCAGTTTATTACCTTGAAATGTTATACCATGTCTGTTTACTTTTTAAAATTAATGACTCAAGCAGGAGGAGGAAAATGATAATTCTAATTAGCCAATATTTTTGTTTATTTCAGAGGCTGAAGGATTTTTTTTATTTGTGTAAAGTTAAGGGGTACACTGTAATTTTGTTATAAGAAGGATTTAAATAAATCAGTATGCATGAAATATGCTTATTGCTTTTCAAAGATATTTAGATTAAATTTTAAAACATACTAGGGAAATTATTCACATTATAGTATCTTGACTTTACATAAAAATTCACCCTAGAGTACTATTTTTAAAGTAGATCTTATGGGAAATTAAAAACATGATTTAGGAATATTGCCATAAATATTTATCCTTCTCTTATAGCCTTCACTATTTAAAAATTGTGGGAAAGTTTTGTCAATTCTAAAATGCCATCTGCTTTTGGAGAGTGTAACATAGTGTGAGTGGAGAATAAATTGCAGCAGGATTACTGTGTTTACTAAGGTAGAAGCATGAGTTTGTTCCTCTACACCTACCCCTAGGGCTGTTAGGCAAAGACCAGAATTGGATGTTCGGGAATCGTTATACGTAAGTAGCGGGGGGTTTTTGTTTGGGCGTTTTTTGCTTAATTTTTGTTTTTCCAGTTTTCATGTTTGAGAGATTGGTTAACACCTTTAGCCAGAAATGTTCAGTTATAGAAAATTAACAACAACCTGCTGAATTTGGAGAATACAAATGAAAAAGTTTATATAGACTGCCTTCTTTACTGGTGAAGTACTACTGTTTCTGGAAAATAGTTGTTATTTTAAAAGTCTGTATATTATGATAAATTTGTAAGACACCTTTATTATTCTATCACCCTAATGAAAACTTTCACAAATCTATCCATGTCATGCCCAGGGTTTTACCTGAAGCTGAGAGGGGACCTATGCAACTTTACTGGGGCTTTTGATTGTTGAGTCCAGCCTTTTTAAGTATATTGAGGGTTATTAATACTTGTGCTACATGGCCTGTGGATTTCTGAGAACTGCTGTTATGGTCACTCATAATACATGTAAAATTCAGGAAGGCATAAGGAAAGGGCAGCCTATAAAAAGTAAAATGGCAGTGCCTCTTGTCCACTGTCAGAGGCATTATATAATTGAAGCATCTTGTTAACCACTGTCTTTCTGCCAATTAAGTGGGACTGACCAAGTAAACACTAATCCCAGTGAACCATTTGGGCACCTTGTGGGTAGACTTTTACTGCCACCTAGTGGAATGGGATCTAATTGTTTCCCTACCAAGTTCACAAGTAACTCGTGAAGTTAATAATGAATTGGACATAGAGCTTATTTCTGTGTAGCTCAGGTTGTAATCTTGAAAGCTGAGGAGATATAGACTCATGCCTTTCAGACTCACTAGTTGGGTGTCAGATAACCACCTGCACATTCCTCTTGAAGAAACCTTGATCTAGGAGTGGAAGTCAGGATGTAGTAAGTGAAAAAACAGAAAGAGGAAAGATAGCATGATAGCCAGGAATGCAGCAGGAGCAAAATGTTGACTCAGAAAGTTATCTAGATCACTGTCTCCAGCCTGATCATGTATCCTTATAAAAATATTTTTATGTGTCCATAATTATATGTATGAATAAAAATAATATCAATAAATGTATTGTTATGCTAATGTGAGCATTGTGAAAGAAAATTTGAAAGAGTGGAATAAGATGAGCGCTTTCTTCCCAAGCCCCAGTGAATTATTAGCACTGTATACTTTGGAGACCATTGATCATACCATTGCATCACCAAGGAAGGTACTAGTGAAGACTGCTGTGGCATCCTACTTGATTTGAAAGGAAGATTTGTCTGCCACTCCAGTAAATTGAAATCCTTTCTCATAAAAAGCTTGCAAATGTAAGTCCCTGTACTTTATTCAGGATTTTTTTCTCTTTTGTAGTAGTAACAACTGCCCGTAACTATACTGTTTCAGAGGTAAGCTAAGTAGTTTACATGTGTTATATCTTCATTTAATCCTTAATAGTAACAGTATCATCCTTTTACAGATGTGGAGACAGATTTAAAGATGTGTAGTATCCAGTGGACAGGTGGTAACTGGCAGAGCTGGAGTTTGAACAGGTCTCGGTGACACCAGGGCCTGTGTGCTTCAATCTTTTGCCTCCTGATCTGCTATACTACCATACATGTAAAGGGTGCTGTTCTGCAGAGTTGTTAGAGTGGATGCTCCCCAACTAAGGGGGGTGAGCTCATCACCAGGCAGCTTGGAGGAGTAGAAAATGCTTGATATGCTAATTTTTTCTAGGTTTAAATCTCAGCTCTGTGAATTGTGCATGTTACTTTTCCTTGCTGAATATTTGTTTCCCCAGCTGTAAAATAGGTCCCATGCCTCCCCTGTTGGTTTGGGGTGAGGATTATATTGTGACTGTACATGCAAAGGTGTTGGGACCTTGAGAGATTATCCTTGGATGCTGATGGAAGTGATGATCTGCTGGGGCCATGACAGACCAAAAAGTACTGTTTTTCCCCAGTTTTAGGTGATGGTTCATTTTCAGTAAGTGTTCATGATTCCGTGATAAGTCTCTAGGCCTGCTTCTTTGTACAGGGAGATAGATAGCCTTTTGGCGTTAATTCCATATAAATAAAATAACTTTGGTCAAGAGGAAAGGTAGTAGTAGGAGAAGTTATAAAATATGTCATTCTTTGCAAGTAATGCTGAGATGGTTTATCGGTCTCTCATTTCTAATGAAAACATTGTTATTTTTCAAGCCAACTTGGTTCCCATAATTTGGGATCAATCCATAGAATGTTCAAAGTTTAGTGTCAGCTGTTTTCAGCAGAAAATAGGGGCTGACAATTTCCTGTGTTCTTTAGAAGCCTTTCAAAGCTTCATGGGAAAATGAAGACTATTCTTGGCCTGGACATTTGCCCCATGGGGTGCTGGACCCAGCCAAACAGCCTTGTATTAGCAAAGGAGGGTCAAGTGAAAGGAGACCTTGTTCTGTGCCAGGCTCTCAAAGGGCAGTCCGAAACCTTATTGGCCACACAGAACCCCTGGTTTAGATGCAGCATTTGTGGACCTGCCGAAATCTGATGCCACTCAGGCTTCCTGAAATCCTTTGGGGTGGGGAGAGGAGGGTAGTTGACATCTCTGAGAGCAGAAGCAGAAGTCTGTGAAGACATGGCACAGATGGTGGGCTGGTGGAGGGGGGGTGGTCAGACATTGCCAACAAACTTCCTTTTTCTTGTTCGTTGCTTCAAGGTGGGCCTCCACTTAGCTCTCTGTCTTCCAGGTGTGTTGCAAGGAGCAGTATTTCACCCTGGATATTTACAATAGCGGAGCACAGAATCCCCATGGGTGAGGGGCTGGCGCTCACCCAAGTAGGGGGTTACTGAACTAACTTGGTCTGGCAAAGGCTTACAACTTTTCTTCCCTTCATTTAATCCCCTTGTCTTTGAATCTCACTGATCTCTTTCATATTTAAATATATGCTCCACTCCAGTGGAGGCATGGAAAAATTCCCTGTGTCTCTGGATAAGCCAGTGATTTAAGCAACTTGGCAAATAGTGGGTGAAGTGATGGGTACCCTGGCATGGCCCCTGGTCTTAATATGAGCTTTTCCCCCCACTTTTCAGAAGTCGGGGAATATATTTTGTCTTGAGAGTAGGGGGAGCTGTCATTTTTTTTCCCTGGGGATAAATCTCATAATGTGGTTATACAAATCTCTGGCTTAGCCTTGTAAACTTTTAAAAAACACAAACTAATGTAGTATTTTAGGAACACAGTTCTTTCACTCTGATGCCAAAATGAGATCCTCCTTAGTTAGACCTTTGGGTTGTTGGGTACAGGTGCCAGGAACTCAAATTGGCATTTTCTCTCCCGAATCTCCACCTCATTAGTGCCTAATTAGACCCCATTCCTCATAGTTGGATGCTGGAAGATGGAGTGGAGGCTACTGATGAAAATTCACCCTCTGTGGTCTCCCCTTCCAGGTACGGTTGGCCTGATTATAGCTCCCAGAGAGGAGATGGGCTTTCTCTCCAACTTGTTACTGTAAGAACTGAAGAACTCATCCTACCAAATGTGAACATTTTAGATGATATTCAAACTGGGAACAATACCAAGGGAGAGAGAACTCACTTGGAAATGTGAGGGGAGGGAACAAAATCAGAAAAGTGCAAGCAGTAAGTGTGGAGTACCTGCTATGTGCCAAATGCGGAGGGTTCACGTAGATTCTCAACTAAAGCTCATGAGAGTTCTATAGCAATGGTCATTTTAACCCCTTTGTAAAAACAAGCAGACAAATTTCCTGTATGATTGATTATATAACATTTGTATTAGTTATCTGTTGTTGGACAAGTGCCCCCCAGCCCTAGCAACAATAGCATTTAAACCACAATAAACTGTAGCAATATTTATTATTTCAGTTTCTGCAGGTCAGGAATTGAGGGGCTGCAGTCAGCGGAGGGCTTGCATGGGGCTGGAGGATGCTTCCAAGATGGCTCACTGACGTCACTGGAAAGTTGCTGATAGGAGGCATCAGTCTCTTGCTACGTGGACCTTTCCATAGGGCTGCTTGAGTGTCCTTGTGACATGGTAGCTGGCTTTCTCCTGGAGCACGTAATCCGAGAGG